CGCACTTTTTTCCCCCCAAAAAAGGGGGGAAAATGTCAGTGCGTCTTATGGAGCGAATATGGAGCGGCCGGTCCGGTATTTCCACCGCTGCCGTGTCAGAATACCGGGCCGGCCGCTCAGCTCTGCAGCGGGACCTTACCTGTTCCTCTATCCATTGGCGCGCTGTCTTCCCGGCTTCTGTAGTGTGGGCGGCTCGGTTTGACAGCCGGGTGCCCAGTGCGCATGCGCGAGAAGCAGTGCGCTTTGTGAATGGTAAGGCGGCACCTGGGACACATGACAGGTCCCAGAAGCCGCCTGACCAATCACAAAGTGCAGCGCTTCTCGCTCATGCGCACTGGGCACCCAGCTGTCAAACCAAGCCGCCCACACTACAGAAGCCGGGAAGACAGCGTGCGGCTAGATAGTGGAACAGGTAAGGTCAAACAACTCCGCGGAAGTAAGAGCGGGTACCCGCTCCCCCCCCTCCCCCCCAAAGGTCAGCAGTCATCTCCTGTACTGTCCACAGTCTCTGGTCATCCCTGTGCTGTCCGCAGTCTCTGGTCATCCCCTGTACTATGTCCGCAGTCTCTGGTCATCTCCTGTACTGTGTCCGCAGTCTCTGGTCATCTCCTGTACTATGTCTGCAGTCCATTAGTTCAGAATATTTTTTTTTCCTGTTTTCAGCCTCTAAAACCTAGGTGCGTCTTATGGTCAGGTGCTTCTTATGGAGCGAAAAATACAGTATATATAAAAAAAAAAAACTCCCAAGGGAGAACTGGTTCATTCAACTAAAGAGATTGCTAAGGTGTTTAAGGAATATTATAGTAAGTTGTATAATATTATCTCCTATGACACTGGAACTGCGAAAATTGAAAAAAGAAGGACATATCGAAAAAATGCGGGTGTACCGAAAATTAAGCGAAATACAACTGAATTCCCTAGACTCAGAAATTACACAAGACGAAATAAAAGTAGCATTAAAAAGTACGGTGACGGGGAAAAGCCCAGGGCCAGATGGTTATACTGTGAGGTACTATAAAAAGTATAGTGAATTATTGGCGCCAAATTGAAGATATACATGAATGCTTTGGGAGGAGGGATGGATATGAGGCGAGAATCCCTAAAGGCTCATGTCGTGCTTATCCATAAGGAAGGAAAAGATGCTTCTCAGTACTCTAGTTATAGACCTATTTCATTACTGAACACAGACACTAAGCTATATACAAAGGTCTTAGCAAATAGGCTGAAAGATTTAATGCTCGAATGGATACATGTGGATCAGGTGGGCTTTGTTCCAGGGAGGGAGGGTAGAGACAACGGGTTGAGATCCCTGTTGCTCATTCAGAAAAGTAGAAAAGGAAAAACTCTGGTGGTGGTGCTTTCAATCGATGCCGAAAAGGCATTTGATAGAGTTGATTGGGGCTTCATGATGGACACTCTGGAAGTCCTGGGGATGGGAGTTAGAATGAGAGAGTGGATAGGAAAGTTGTACAGGTAGCCCTCTGCAGTTATTATGGTTAATGGGGAGAGGTCAGAGACTATTGGGTTGTCAAATGGAACAAGACAGGGCTGTCCATTGTCCCCATTGTTGTATGTTTTGTCATTGGAATCTTTGTTGTCAACAATAAGGAAGAATATAAATGTAAAGGGAATACAGATAGACGCTATAGAACACAAAATAGCTGCCTTTGGGGATGACCTGTTGTTTTATGTGGGAAACCCCAGGATAACACTCCCAAATTTAATGAAGACACTGAAGGAATATGGGGAGTTATCAAACTTAAAAATTAACCCAACAAAAACAGAGATTCTAAATATAAATCTTTCAAAAAGTGAAAAAAAAAGATACAAAAGGAATTCCCCTTTATATGGAAAGAAAGAGATATGAAGCAGTGAGTTTTACCCCTAGATATTTTATATCAGTATTTGTATAAATTAATTTATATTTCACTGTTAAATGAGATTAAGGAGGAATTAAAAAAATTAGGAGGAAACCCGTCTTGGATAGGACACATAAACCTGATAAAAATGGTAATTGTACCCAAAATACTATATAGATTTCAAATGATCCCAATTAAACTCCCAGAAGTTTTCTTTAAGGCAATAAAAAAATGATAACAAGATATATATGGAGGAATAAAAAACCTAGAACATCATATGAATTGCTAAGTAGAAAATAAAGAGAAGGGTGGATTGGGAGTACCAGATTTTAAGAGATATTACAAAGCAGTAATTTCAGCGCGAATTATTGATTGGACGTATTATTTAAAAGGGAAAAGCTGGGTTAAAATTGAAAATGAGCTTAGTGGAACTAATTTGAGTAAAATTATATGGGTGCCAACACAATATAGAGGATTAAAAGATAGTACAAGTTTATATACTTTAAATGTTTTAAGAGTTTGGGATAATTTGCACAAATATATGAAGTGGGATTTTAATTCTATATTAATGCCACTAAGGAACACAGAGTTTTTTCCTCCATGTAGAGAGGAGATCACAGGTCAATGGTTTAAGAAGGAGGATGTCCAATTGAGAGCAAAAGTGGTGGAGGGGGAATTGAGATCATTTAAGGATTTGGAAAAAAAAAAGGGAGAAATTTTCACAAAGATATATGAATGGCGTTATCACCAAATAAAAGGTTTTGTGGGGAATCTTCCGAAACCCTTAAGATCTAGAAAAGATTGGAATTTGTTTGAGAGGTTGTTGGAATCACGGGGAGATGGGAAACACAGTACTGCTAAAAAATATATAAAATTCTCACTGAATTAGACACAAACACAAAGCCAATGTGTATAGCAAAATGGGAAAGAGACTTGGGGGTTGTGATAGAAGAGGATAAACAGAAGAAAATATATAGATTACCTCACGAAAATATAAGTGTGCGAGAGGTGGAAATAAATGATAAGTGTTTGACAAGATGGTACATTACACCGAATGTTGAACATAAGATGAGTGAGGAGAATTCACCTGGGTGTTGGCGGGGGTGTGGAGAGATAGGCTCGGTGTGTCACATATGGTGGGATTGTCCAAAAATTCAAGTATTTTGGAAGATAATAGTTCATTTAATTGGGATGATTACTGAGATTGATATTGGGTTGGATCCAGAGACTTGTCTTTTACATAGTACAGAGCTATCAATGAAAAAATATAAGGAATCGGGTATATGGTACTATCTAAATGCAGCAAAGGGTCTGATACCCACGTTTTGGCGTAAGATAGAGGTGCCGAAGGAAGAAGATTGGGTAGATAGAATGAATCAGATTTGTAAGATGGAGAAACTTTACCATATGCATGAAGACAAGAAGGGGGTATATTATGTGAAATGGAATAAATGGGAAGAATTTGGATTGAAGGGGAAATATAGGAAGCTATAGTGTGTGATGATGTGAATGTTCCTCTTGCTTTAGTAGGGAAGATGTGGGGGAATGCAGAGGGGTAGATTGGGGGGGGGAGGGATGGAAGGGGATTAGTTGAGAGGGAGTGGGAAATAGCTAAAGAAAGGGAAATAAGTAATGGTTTTGTAAATTTTATGTGAAGATGATGTATATATGTATTTATTTGAAAAATCAATAAATATTTAAATAAAAAAAAAAAAAGAGCAGGTCATCACAGGTGCAGGACCGAAGGAACCAAATATATTCCATGCCTCCTCCAGGGGTTATTTTGAGCTTCTAGACTACATAAGGGAGGAGGGGTGTCTCACATTTTTTTCCATCAAAACCCAAAAAAGTTGTGAAAGCTACACAGATGTGCTCCTGTGCAATCCTAAACTACACATGTGCCCAGACTGTAGGCATCACTTTTTTTTTATCATATTCTTAATAAGTAGTAAACAAGCTTTAACACAAACCCTCACCTACCTCTGTAGCTGCAGGTACTGTAGAATAATGCATCCCCGAAGATCCCTTTCTGTCACTTTCTAACATAGTCAAACACCTGCTGGATGCTTACATTAGAGGGTTGGTAGGCTTTCAGAAGAAATAGTGGGAGAAGAGCTGTCTTTTCAATGCTTGTTATGTGAAATTTGAAGATGAATTTATCTTTCATGCCTGTGGCTACAGAGGCGAGCTAATTTTAGGCACCACCCCTGCATTGCAAGAGTTAACTCTCCTTTTTATGTCTAGGGGATACAGGAGTAGGCATTATTACTTACCTTATCCCTCGCTATGTCTAGCTGTCTTCTTCTCCCTGAAGCTCTGGTCTTTGGGAATTCCCTCGATGTCATCACATACAATGTTGGACTCTTGTGCATGGTGGCGGTGTGACTACGCCCATGAGCACCTTAAAGAAGACGCTGTGAGGGGCCATCCATAGCACTGGAGAGACCCTGCAGGGCCCCCCTATGAGGTTGGATTTCTTTCTAATTGCTGGAGTTGAGCTTTAAAGTGCTGTCCATACTGTAATGGCCATAGTCATAGTAATGGGTTAGGAATGAGTCCATTCAAGTTTCCTACTTTAACTGAAGTCCAGATTGAAGGGGGGATGGGTGTCTCTGGCCCTCAATACATTTTGGCTGTTTTTTTCTGTTAACCAATAAATGACTTTGGACTCTTATAATTTGGTCTGGGGCACACCTTCCATTGGTACACGTTCGTTTTTTTTTCTGGTAACCTGTTGGGTACCCAAAAGGGGGGGGGGGGGGGGGTAGCCCTCTGTTTGTGGGCAGCCTAACCTGAGCCAGTGAGCTGCTCGAAATGCTTTGCTCTTCTCACTACATTGTACAAAACCCCCAATGAAGTCTCAGACCCTCTTGGTTGTTTTTTTCTTCATTGGAATACCCCAATAATATCATTACTGTGACCCTCATTCATAATGCTTTGTCTATCTTCATGACAAGATAACAATATTAACAATATAGAAGTCGATTTAATGAGTACTTTTCAGTAGGAAGCTTCATTGCCATGACATGAACCTCATACATTTCATTATTTAGGAAGGGAGACCCTTAGAAGTTCAAAGGCTTAAAGATGATTTAATGTTTTCGATCCAAATGGTCAGAAGACACCTATCTTCTGTGGTCTTCACGCCGTCCTCTTTGTCACATGTATGAAGTAACATGGATCTGTCTCTTGGCCTGGGGTGAAGGGCAGGAAGTCTCCATACACCATGTGCTCACACTGACCCCCAAATGCCTCGTGCAGAAGGGCAGTAAAGGAATCCAGGCGGTGAGGGTAATAGGACAAGCGGAATTTGCTGTGGAAACAAAAGTTTAGGATAACAACACTGACAAATCAGGGATTTATCAAAGATGCATGAGATACATAATATCCAGTGAAATTGTAATGATGGCGGCACAGGAGAAACCTCCATTGACCCCAGTGTATGTGACTGAAAAATGAAGTAAAAAATACCAGGAAAGGGTAGGGGGTGTACTTTTTAGCTGAAATGGTACCTGTCATTCCTGAAATGCCATGTTTGTCTCTCTCCTTTGATTGTTCCACCCGGGGTCTTCAGCCTTGTTATTCCTGTGAATTCCCAAAGTGGCCCGCACCTTCAGAAAGTCACTATCTAGACTGACTAGAAAGGTCCAATGTCAGACCAACTGACCTCTGTCTCCCATCACCCCTTCATTGCCTGAAAAAGCAGCCTGTGCTGGCGCTTCTGGGAACTACTGAAGACCTCGCTGCAGAGCTGGCTGTGTGTGACTAGGGCGTCCAGAAGGAAGAGACATATGGCCGTGGGCAGCCATCTTCTTCAGTTCAATAAATGAACAAAAAAGCTTCAACTAAGCTGAATAATTGACTAACCTAAATTAGTCAGTTGTGTCCTGCCGGGGTGCAGTGTAGATGGTGGGATCATTGTTACAGACCCAACTGGGACAAGGGCTGTTAGAGGGGACTGCAGGCTAGCCTATTGACCATGGCCTTGACATCTGAGGGGGCTCTATTCTTTGGGAGGTGTGCGCCTTGGGGGGACCTTTGGAGTAGTTTTAGTTCAGATTTGAGTCCATGTCTCCTCAAAACACACAGACTTTGAGACCTGGAGGACTCGGATACAGATTTGGTGTCTCTGTGGCCAAACCAGCATTGACTGCTTAAACTCTTCCATCTGTTACGTGTAATCTGTTTAATAAGATGTTATGTGTTTACTGGTATAATGTGTACCTGTGTTTGCCTGTCCTGTCTAGGTGTGAAGTGTCTTCCTCCCATTGTGTAATGTCCACATGGTGTGCCTCCTAGGGGTGAATTCCCATTGTTAATTGAGTCACCTATTGTAGGGCAGCACAGTGGCTAAATGGTTAGCACTTCTGCCTGGCAGTACTTGGGTTGTTGGTTCGAATCCCAGCCACGGCACCACCTGCCTGGAGTTTGCATGTTCTCGCTGTGCCTGCGTGGGTTTCCTCCGGGTACTCCAGTTTCCTCCCACACTCCAAAGACATGCTGGTAGGTTAATTGGCTCCTGTCTAAAATTTGCCCTACAGTTGCAAGAAAAAGTATGTGAACCCCTTGGGATTACGTGGAGTTTTGCATGAATTGGGCATAAAATGTGCTCTGAACGTCATCTAAGTCACAACAATAGAAGAACACAGTCTGCTGAACATAATACTACACAAACATTAGATGTTGCCATGGTTTAATTGGACATAACATGTAAACATTCACAGTGCAGGGAGGAAAAAGTATGTGAACCTTTGGACTTAATAACTGGTTGACCCTCCTTTGGCAGCAATAACCTCAACCAAACGTTTCCTGTAGTTGCAGATCAGACCTGCACAACGATCTGGAGTAATTTTGGACCACTCTTTTTCACAAAACTGTTTCAGTGTAGCAATATTCTTGGGATGTCTGGTGTGAATCGCTCTCTTAAGGTCATGCCACAGCATTTCAATCGGGTTGAGGTCAGGACTCTGACTGGGCCACTCCAGAAGGCGTATTCTGTGCTGTTGCAGCCATTGTTTTGTTGAATGACTTGTATGCTTTGGGTCATTGTCCTGTTGCATCACCCATCCTCTGCGGAGCTTCAGTTGGCGGACAGATGGTCGTACGTTTTCCTGCAGAATGTCTTGATAAACTCTGGAATTCATTTTCCCTCAATGACAACAATCCGTCCAGGCCCCGAGGCAGCAAAGCAGCCCCAAACCATGATGCTCCCTCCACCATGTTTCACAGTGGGGATGAGGTTTTGATGTTGGTGTGCTGGGCCTTTTTTTCTCCACACATAGTGTTGTGTGTTCTTCTCAAACAACTCAATCTTGGTTTCATCTGTCCACAGTATATTTTGCCAGTAGTGCTGTGGAACATCCAGGGGCTCTTTTGCAAACTTCAAACGTGCTGCAATATTCTTTTTGGACAGCAATGGCTTCCTCCGTGGTGTCCTCCCATGTACTCCATTCTTGTTTAATGTTTTCCTTATTGTAGATGTGTCAACAAAAATGTTAGCATGTGCCAGAGATTTCTGTAGGTCTTTAGCTGACACTCTGGGATTCTTCTTTACCTCATGCAGCATTCTGCACTGTGCTCTTGCAGTCATTTGTACAGGACGACCACGCCTAGGGAGAGTAGCAACAGTGCTAAACTTTCTCCATTTGTAGACAGTCTGTCTTACCGTGGACACATGAACATCAAGGCTTTTGGAGATACTTTTGTAATCCTTTCCAGCTTCATGCAAGTCAACTATTCTTGATCGTAGGTCTTCTGAGAGCTCTTTTCTGAGAGGCATGGTTCACATCAGACAGTGCTTCTTGAAACCAATAAACCCAAAACAGGTGTCAGCAACACATCCAATATCATCACACTGATTGGAGTCAAGGTTGGCTCACTCCTGGCTCCAATTAGCTCTGGGAGAAGTCATTAAGCTAGGGCTTCACATACTTTTTCCTCCCTGCACTGTGAATGTTTACATGTTATGTGCAATTAAACCATGGCAACATCTTATTTTGTGTAGTATTATGTTCAGCAGACTGTGTTCTTCTATTGTTGTGACTTAGATGACGTTCAGAGCACATTTTATGCCCAATTCATGCAAAACTCCACGTAATCCCAAGGGGTTCACATACTTTTTCTTGCAACTGTATATTCTGTGTATGTATGAATGTAAGTTAGGGACCTTAGATTCTACACCCCTTGAGGGTTAGGGACTGATGTGAATGTACAATATATATGTAAAGCACTACGTAAATTGACAGCGCTATAGAAGTACCTGTAATAAATAAATAAAATAAATATTGTTTATGTCTGTCAGCCAGTCCTCCTGGAGAGTTATTTCTGAAGCACTGACACCAATGATAGGAGTTATTACTGCAGCAGCACTGACACCAATGATGGGAGTTATTATTGCACCCACTGACACCAATGATAGGAGTTATTATTGCACCCACTGACACCAATGATAGGAGTTATTATTGCACCCACTGACACCAATGATAAGTTATTACTGCAGCACTGACACCAATGATAGGAGTTATTATTACACCAATGATAGGAGTTATTACTGCAGCAGCACTGACACCAATGATGGGAGTTATTATTGCACCCACTGACACCAATGATAGGAGTTATTATTGCACCCACTGACACCAATGATAAGTTATTACTGCAGCACTGACACCAATGATAGGAGTTATTATTACACCAATGATAGGAGTTATTACTGCAGCAACACTGACACCAATGATGGGAGTTATTACCGCAGCACTGACACCAATGATAAGAGTTATTACTGCAGCACTGACACCAATGATAGGAGTTATTATTACACCAATGATGGGAGTTATTACCGCAGCACTGACACCAATGATAAGAGTTATTACTGCAGCACTGACACCAATGATGAGAGTTATTACTGCAGCACTGACACCAATGATGAGAGTTATTACTGCAGCACTGACACCAATGATGAGAGTTATTACTGCAGCACTGACACCAATGATAGGAGTTATTATTACACCAATGATAGGAGTTATTACTGCAGCAGCACTGACACCAATGATGGGAGTTATTATTGAATTCACTGACACCAGAGGATGTGTGTTTGCCTATATACAGGCATTTGGCTGGTACATCAGGGCATGTTTTCGGCACAGCCATTTGTGGCTGGTTGGACCATCTGACATTTTCAAATTCAACTCAAAAATGAGCATACACCTAAACACCAACTCTTACACTAGAAAACTCTGACACCAACACCAAGCCAAAGACTTTTACAATAATTACAGTCCTAATGCGAAGTCCTACAACACATCCAAGATGAAGGCCGGCTCTATGCTTGGTCAGTGCTCCCAAATCTTACACAAGGATCAGCACTTTGCAATGGAAGTTTGGTCCCACAAAGCAATCATGAGAATCAGTACCTGACTTCTGGCTGGGACTCCTCTGAAGCCGGTATCTGGACTGTGTAATCCAGTGTCACCATGTGCGCTTTGTTGTTCACCCACAAGACGGAGGTAGAGATGTCCTGGGTCAAGTCACTCTGTGGAGACATGAAACCACATATCTGTCACCAGAAAGAGTAATACCAGATGAGTCCTGTGGAGGCGCTCCTCACCTTGTAGTAAATGTTCTTCCCCTGAGGAGCACAGCCAGTGTTCAGGATGTAGTCATAGTTTCTATGATCAATAATCAATATTCCTCCCGGTCGGACCATTCGTGCAATGTTGTGAAGCGCCAGGCGCTGGTCACTCTGATCTCCTAATATGAAAAAGTGAATGGTGAGAGTAGATAACTCCACGAATCTGTCATCCCGAGGGTCCTCTGACCCCATCCACCGGCACACAATCCAGCACCACTCAGAAATGAACACAAAGTGTAATACATGGCAGGTGTGGGAGCCTAAAGTTTTATATGTAGTAAGGGAGGGCTATAACCCCCATCAGATTTTTGCTCTTTGTGTCCCATAAGGGAGATTTATTTTCACTTCCTGGTCCAATGTCACCAGAACCAGTGTCCCCATTGGAAGATTTCCCCTCTATTCCTGTTCTGGAGACAACCCGAAATTTGGGATTTTCTTTCACTTTTTGTGATTACAATAAGGACAAATAAGAGACAAATAGAGAGGGGAATCTCTCTGAGAGGGGCGCAGACAGCAATAAAACCTGGCAGGGGGTCTAATCCCTCTCCACTCCATCCAACACTAAACGTTTTGCCTTTAGTTTAACATTTTGTAGAGGAACCAAATTCAGCTCCAACCAGAGTGGAAGATTGAGGTTCCTCAGGGGATATGCTAGATGTGGTGGTGCAAATATATTCTAACTGGGGCCTAAATGTAATTCTGGGGGCCTCACATGTCAGATACATTTATTGGCTTTATGTTGCAGTTTCTATACAAATTCCCTAGATAGGGATTGTTTGAAAGAGAAATAATAATTTGGCCAAAGTGTCCATTGTGACAAAAACCAGCAAAACAGAGGGAAGGCCGACTCTGCAGGTCCAAAGTGTTACTAAACCCCGGACCCTGCATTCACCGTATCCGCTCTCCCCGGACCCCGCATTCACCGTATCCCCTCTCCCCGGACCCCGCATTCACTATATCCGCTCTCCCCAGACCCCACATTCACTGCATCCACTCTCCCCGGACCCCGCATTCACTATATCCGCTCTCCCCAGACCCCACATTCACTGCATCCACTCTCCCCGGACCCCGCATTCACCGTATCCGCTCTCTCAACGGGACCCCGCATTCACTGCATCCGCTCTCCCCGGACCCCGCATTCACTATATCTGCTCTCCCCAGACCCCGCATTCACTGTATCCGCTCTCCCCGGACCCCGCATTCACCGTATCCCCTCTCCCCAGACCCCGCATTCACTATATCTGCTCTCCCCAGACCCCGCATTCACCGTATATCCCTCTCCCCAGACCCCACATTCACTGCATCCACTCTCCCCAGGACCCCGCATTCCCACCGTATCCGCTCTCTCAACGGGCCCCGCATTCACTGCATCCGCTCTCCCCAGACCCCGCATTCACTGCATCCACTCTCCCCGGACTCCGCATTCACCGTATCCGCTCTCCCCGGACTCCGCATTCACCGTATCCCCTCTCCCCCCCGGACCCTGCATTCACTATATCCGCTCTCCCCAGACCCCGCATTCACTCTCCCCGGACCCCGCATTTACCGTATCCGCTCTCTCAACGGGCCCCGCATTCACTGCATCCGCTCTCCCCAGACCCCGCATTCACTGCATCCACTCTCCCCGGACTCCGCATTCACCGTATCCGCTCTCCCCCGGACTCCGCATTCACCGTATCCGCTCTCCCCGGACCCTGCATTCACTATATCCGCTCTCCCCAGACCCCGCATTCACTGCATCCACTCTCCCCGGACCCCGCATTTACCGTATCCGCTCTCTCAACGGGCCCCGCATTCACTATATCCGCTCTCGTCGGACCCCGCATTTCCACTCTCCCCGGACCCCGCATTTACTATATCCGCTCTCCCCGGACCCCGCATTCACTACATCCGCTCTCCCCGGACCCTGCATTCACTATATCCGCTCTCCCCGGACCCCGCATTCACTATATCCCCTCTCCCCGGACCCCGCATTCCCTATATCTGCTCTCCCCCCCGACCCCGCATTCCCTATATCACTCTCCCCGGACCCCGCATTCCCTATATCCGCTCTCCCCAGACCCCCCTGGACCCTGAATTCACCGTATCCACTCTCCCGAACCCCGCATTCACTATATCTGCTCTCTCGGACCCCCCATTCTGTATATCCGCTCTCCCCGGACCCTGCATTCACTATATCCGCTCTCCCCGGACCCCACACTCACTGCATCAGCTCTCCCCGGACCCCGCATTCACTATATCCGCTCTCCCCGGACCCCGCATTCACTATATCCGCTCTCCCCGGACCCCGCATTCACTATATCCGCTCTCCCCGGACCCCGCATTCACTATATCCGCTCTCCCCCCCTGGACCCTGCATTCACTATATCCGCTCTCCCCGGACCTCAAATTCACTATATCAGCTCTCCCTGGACCCTGAATTCACCGTATCCACTCTCCCCGGACCCTGCATTCACTATATCTGCTCTCCCCGGACCCCACATTCACTATATCCGCTCTCCCTGGACCCTGAATTCACCGTATCCACTCTCCCCGGACCCTGCATTCACTGTATCCGATCTCCCCGGACCCCGCATTCACTATATCCGCTCTCCCAGGACCCTTCCTTTCCTTCTGTAGAGATCCCACCTGGATGAGGGCCTCCTCCCAGGCACCACACTCGCCTCCTGCTCTCATATCTTCCACCCGAACTCTCCCCCTACTGAGCAGGCTCAATTACTTTTAAAGGCTGTCTTAACCCCATGCCAAGCCTCCTGCTTAGGGGAAAAGGTCAAAATCCCTCAAGAGTAGCTTAGTAACAGACCAGCTCCTCCTCACCCCCACCCACTGCTTCTAGAATCTTCTCCAAAACTCTAGAACCAGGGGAGGTATCAGGGAACTGACCTGCAGAGCCTCTCGACCCTGACCCAAATTTGACTATGCTGACTATTCCCAGGCTGCTACTCGGCCTAACTAAAAATTAGCCACTAGGTTCCCCTGGCTATCTAGAGGGGCGCTACATAAAGACTCAGGGGTTGATTTACTAAAGGCAAATAGACTGTGCCCCATACAAGGTGCAGTTGCACTCTGCAAGTGCAATTGCTCCAGAGTTTTGTAAATGAGATAAAAATATACTTTGCAAGGAATACCCAATCACGTGCAAGGAAATTTGATAAAAAAATAGCACATTTGCTTGCACGTGATTGGATGATGAAAGTCAGCAGTGCTTCTGCTCATTTATTTAAGCTCTGGAGCAACTCCTCTTGCAGAGTGCACAGTCTATTTGCCTTTACAAAATCAACCCCTGCATCTGCCATTGACCTGGATGGGATTAATGTATTCCCAGCAGTGCCAAGCACTGTACTCCATCATCTTCATCTTCATCACCACCTCCGCTCACTCTCTTGCAGTTCTGTTCTCTAGTCAGCTATCCCAAGCCTGTTTGCCTAATTAATGACCAAACTGTCTAATTTGTTACCTTCAGCAATGTCCGGGGCCCCGTAGCTTTGCTTAGAGAAGCACCAATCGGACAAAGGAAGATGTACCGGTAAGCTGAGACGAGATAAAGACACGTATCTTCAGAACTGCCTGGAAGCCCAGGAATCTTCTACTGCTCTTTGTAAATCCCAACTTCAGTCCCCTTCCCTTTTTACTCTGCTCTGGATTGGTGTAAGGCCAATGTGGGGCCAATATTTAAAAAGGGGTCAAAAATTTTCCCAAGTAATTATAGACCTGTTAGTGTAATTTCTATAGTTGGGAAGTTACTGGAGAGTTTAACTACTTGCCGACCGCAGATAGCCGAATGATGGCTGCACTGCGGCCGGCCAGTTCTGGGTGGACGTCATATGTCGTCCACCCAGAATGCGCTCTCCTGCGCGCTCCCGGGGGCGTGCACCCGGCGATCTCCAAGATCGCTGTGTCCTACGGACACAGCTGATCACATGACGTGGTAAAAGGCCAATCACAGCAGCCTTTTACCACGTGATCAGCCGTGTCCAATGACACGCTGATCACCGGGAAAATGCAAATGTCGGTTCTCGGCTGCACTTTCCTCACGCTGTCAGATCGTGAGGAAAGTACTGCCGAAAACCGGCAGTTGTCAGAGCGCGGGGATCGGCACCGATCATCAGGGTCACTGATCATCAGTGCCCTAATGATCGGTGCCCAGCAGTGCCACACACAAGTTCCGCTGACCTGTGCCCAGTAGTGCGCCCACCTGTGCCCAGAAGTGCCACCTACCTGTGCCCAGTAGTGCACCCACCTGTGCCACCCAGCAGTGTCACCACCTGTGCCCAGAAGTGCCACCTACCTGTGCCCAGTAGTGCCACCCACCTGCGCCCACCCACCTGTGCCCACCAGTGCCACCCACCAGTGCCCATCAGTGCTGCCAGTCAGTGCCCAGCAGTAATGTCAGTCAGTGCCACCTATCAGTGCTGTCTATCAGTACCCATTATCAGTGTCGCCTATCAGTGCCACCAATCAGTGCCGCATATCAGTGCCACCTATCCGTGACACCTCATTAGTGCTGCCTATCAGTGCCGCCTATCCGTGCCACCTCAGTGCTGCCTATCAGTGCCGCCTATCAGTGCCCTTCAGTGGTGCCTATCAGTGCCCATCATTGCCGCCTATCAGTGCCCATCAGTGCTGCCTCATCAACGCACATCAGTGAAGGAGAAAAATTACCTGTTTGAAAAATGTTATAATAGAAACAAAGAAACTTTTTTTTTTTTTTCAAATTTTTTTGCACTTTTTTTGCTTATAGCACAAAAAGTAAAGCGCCCAGCAGCGATTAAATACCACCAAAAGAGAGCTCTATTTGTGCGAAAAAAATGATACAAATTTCATATGGGTACAATCTTGCATGACCGCGCAATTGTCAATCAAAGTGCGGCAGCACTGAAAGCTGAAAATTGGCCTGGTAAATAAGGGGGTATAAGTGCCCGGTAGGCAAGTGGTTAATAAAAGATCACATAGATGAGTTCTTGCTGGCAAAAAAATATTTGGATGGATTCATGAAAGACAGAAGTTGTCAAACAAAACTGATTTCTTTTTACGAGGAGGTGAGCAAAACCTTGGACAGAGGAGTGGCGGTGGACGTGGTATACTTGGACAGAGGAGTGGCGGTGGACATGGTATACTT